AATTTATTTTAATCAAAATTAATTATTATTAACAATGATTAAATATAATGAAATATTTAATTATAACTAATTTTAATTAAATATAAATATTTATTATTATTATCAATTAATTAATTAATTAATAATAATAATAATAATAATAATAATAATAAATCCCTATCCTCCCCCTTTGGTTCACGGTTTTAGCTGAAGAAGTGCGTGAGGGAGAAATTACCTTCACAGCAAAGGAGCTCCCGTGGTTGCTTCGATCAAAATGCCGCAACTTCCAGTCCTACAGGAGAGAATTTCGGAGGAGGAGGTCGGTACAGGTGGGGTTCGTATCAGAGGGAGATGGGGTGAGCTCGGTCAGCGGGATCAAGAAGTCCACGGGTAAGGAGTCGGCTCAGGTGACTCTCTCCTCTCTCTCTCTCTCTCTCTCTCTCTCTCTCTCTCTAGATCGGAGGAGGCTGAGGCATCGGAGCTTGTGGAGTTCGGTCGGCTTTGGAGTTCGGCAGAGGGAGGAGTTCGGGTCGTGTGTGGAGTCGTGCGTGGAGAGGTATCGGGAGAGGCTTGCGATGCTTCAGCTCTGTTCGCTCGATATTTAAAGACCTGAATGGGAGTGGGATCGAGGGATCAACACAGGATTTTTGCAGAAATCCCGGAACGGCGCCGGATGTACAGTGGTATCGCGGGATTTTGGCAGAATTTGCGGGATTTAGCACATGTATACTGCATTTTTTTTGTTTCTTTTGAGCTTAATTCAGAGGTCAACAACTTTACTGAAAGCAACTTCAACATTTGTCTTAATATTGAAATTTAACAATGCATTCTTTTGGTGAGCTTGGCAGCTTGCAATGTTAATTTTGCTAAGCCTACAACCCTTGCTATCATATTTCATTGTTTGAATGTGAAGTCTTGTGCTCTTAAGTTTCTGTCTTCAACACTGCATTATGATGAATTCTGACTGTAGGGGCATAATAATTGTAAAGTTGAGGCGTGGACAAGAACTGAGATTAAGGGCAATCGCTAGAAAGGGAATCGGTAAGGATCATGCAAAGTGGTCACCTGCTGCTACTGTAACCTTTATGTATGAACCAGAGATTCATATTAATGAAGAACTGATGGAAACCTTAACACTCGATGAGAAAAGAACTTGGATTGAAAGCAGCCCCACCAAAGTTTTTGACATTGATCCTAATACCTATCAGGTCTGTTCTGTTTTCTTCTAAACTTCCTTATGTTAGGCAATGTTTCAAGAATTCTGCTGTAATGAGTTTGTTTGGCACGAGAAATTTCCAAATATGGCACACCATACATGCATATTCAAACATTATTTTGTTGCCTTACAAGAAATGTCATTGCATAATTTTAAATTATTTTGATATTTTATTCATTTCAAGTTTTTATTCTGGAAGATTGTCCCTGACATACTAGTTGAAATATGAGTTATTGTTTAGGAATCATTTTAACAAGTACTGCATTGGAAAACCTAGAATTTGCTTACAAATTTTTTTATTCGTATTTCATACATCTTTAATGTATAAAATGGTCAATCAAACCAACAATAAAAAATTACCGCTAGATTAATTATATAAATTCTTATATTCCTGCCTATCAGATTGTTATCACATATTTCAAGATTAGTTTACATTTGTATTTAGGTTGGATGCATTTTCTTATAAAAATTTTGAGCAAATTTAATGATTAATATGTCTAGATAATTTGTCAAAAAATTATGAAGGATAAATTAAGGAATTATTATATTAGAAAACTGGTTGAAGTGACATATATTCATGATAAGGTAGTTAAAAATATTTTTAGGTGATTTGAATGTGTTTGATATATGGTAGAAAATACATGATGATGTTCCTATAAATTAAGCTGGTTATATGATGTGATGCTTGACTTAAACCATCTTTTTTTCTGTTTTTTTTTTAAACCATCTTTTTTCTGTTGAGAGTTAGAAATAAGAAATTTAGGTGTGATGGATTATGTTCCTTTCTCTTATTTGAATGGGAAATTAAAATGGAGATTTTGAATGTTTATGTTACCATCATGATGGGCTGGGTTTATCATAATAACTAACTGTGCTTTATGAATCTTTTTTTTTTATTCATTTTATTGAATTTTGAATTTTTTATCATCTTTTCATTTAATACCCTACCAACTCCTTTGTTATTCCATGTGCATCTTACTATTGGCAACACCTTATATGTGTTTACCATACAAACACTTCTATATTCTTTTCTTAATAGTCACATTTTTTCTCGAATGTTTATGTTAGAAAAATTAATTTATTAGTACAACATCGGAAGGTTCATTAGATAAATAGAAAATTGAGTTTGTCAGAGACTTAAAAAAAATGGTGGATTAAGGGGAAAGAAGGAGAATCCTAGATCAAGGAGTATTGTTCATTCTTATTGCAAGCCGTAATAGCTCTCGGTGGAGTCTATTTATAGAAAATACATAACTCTTAAAGTCTAACAAACTACCTATTGGTTTTTAAAACCTATTACTTAATTACTCACATATACACATTAATATAATCCTAATATATTTATGATATTATTGATCATATCATTATCGACTCATTCAAAATCGACCTTGCCATCAAGGTTAAATCACATAGTAAAACAAGATAAATACCAAGAAACCCATATAAAATCTTAAGTCATGAAATGGAGGCGCAAATGTTGGTGAATATGCAAGAGGTGGTATCTATTGAGCCACACTTCTGGTTGATGATCTATTGGTGAAAAGGGAGGTGGTAATTATTTGTACTATTTTTTTGTGTCATGCAAGTGTCACAATGTGATTGCTATTGTGTATTTGTGTTGGTCAGGCCTATAGTACTTTAGTACAATAAATGAAGGCAATATAAACTATGGTGCTGAAATAGGAGTGGTTGTTTGGATTTATAATTGAAGCAAGAAGCTTGAGCAAGTGATTTCCATTTTGAAAGAGCTCAAATGCATCTCAATGTCCGTGTCATTCATTAAAACCTTAAAAATCCATAATCAATAGCCTTGATTTTAATAATATGACTATGTTTGGAGTACTTGTTTGCCAATTGGGGTGTCAAAGTTGATTTTAGCTCAAAATTTACTTCAAGCCTAGCTAGCCGCTAATTAATACCATGTATAATCTTCCAAATTTTACTTAATTTTTGTTCAATTTTTGTTCAACATGATTGGGGCGGTCTAATTCTCCCATTGTTTCGATTGCTCAATCCATATCATATGCAGTCCTTAAATAGCATTTCATCAAAAATTGAGCTGCAATGTACATCAATAGAATAAAAGCGGTGGAATTTGGACGATGTGGATGAATGATAGACTTGACGGAATAGAGTCAAAGAGGTGGCAATATACACCGATATGTATCCACAGTTGATTGCTATAAAAAGTTAACAACTCACTCATTCTAATTAGCTAGAACTTGCTTGGTGCAGTTGTAGTATCACACAAGTTTTTTCGTAATTCCATTTGGGACGATCTTCATAAAGAGTAGTCGGATCTAAGTTCTTCTGAAAGTGTTGTTTGAATATCACTTATAATGGGCACATTAAAACTGACTTCATAATTCTTTCCTTCATTGATCTTCTTAAGTTTTCTTTAACCTTCTTTAAAGAAGGTGCAAAAGAAGATTCGCGTACAATCTTGTGCTTTTCATGGTTCTTGTGGCTCTCAAGAATAATTCATTGACTTCTTTGATATTATATATATATTGATTTTCTCCTTATCTTTAAGGTATGAGAAAAGTTCAAGCGAGATTTTTAGAAAGAAGTCATGGTGTATGCTACAAATATTTGGAGAAATCAATGTGTTGATCACTTCTCAAATCCACGCAATTAGTTTTAATCAATGTGCTAGCTCATCAAGGTAATATTTTTTATTCTCTTGTTGTCGATTTTTTCAAAGAGGCAAGAGAATTACAAAACTAATGTACTAATCTTTAGTTCCTAACACTAAAGCTTATAGGCCTAATCCAGTTAATCAAAAGTGATTTGCTATGGGCAAACTAGCTAACTGATAAGCTCTGATGGTTATCATATTCACAATTTTGGATCTTCTAAGAACGTGCTTAATCATTAGAAATGCTGGGAAGCTTGGTGAGTATGTAGTTTTTGGTTAGATGTGAATTTTACCATACATAGTTTTTTTTTAATCAATTTGACGAAACTCAAGCCTATACCATGGAAAGATAATAGGTTTGATTAAAATCCCAAATCTTTACCAAAACAAGATAAAACTGATCTGAGCCAAAACAACTAAATTTTGTAGTGGGGTTCAACTTCTCAATTCAGTCTGTTCAATGCCCACCTCTGTAATGTTAAACCTTCCTCTACAGCATGTAAAACTTAATCGACGTCATCAATATTGATTTACACGATAATATCAACAACTTAGCTGATAGTTTTGTTCTTATCATAATCATAGTGTATTTTGTGTGGAAATGTTGCACCTTGTGTTCATGAGAAACTCCTGCAGTGTGGCTTATTATATTATTTAATCAGTTGCATATTCTTTGTTTTTCTTTTTATGATTTCTCCATGTAATTATGCTCTGCAGCAGTTAGCAATTTTTTATTTTCTTGATTTTGATCTATAACAGTTACAATTATGTGTTTTAATCAGGTAAGAGTTGTTGATCCTGAGGCTTACACTTACGACGAAGAAGTTATAAAAAAGGCAGAGGCCATGGGAAAGCCAGGGCTGGTTGAAATCTATGCCAAAGAAGACAGCTTCATCTTCACAGTGGAGTCCACTGGTGCGATAAAATCTTATCAGATGGTAATCAATGCAATTGAAATCCTTAAGCAAAAGCTCGATGCGGTTCGCCTGCAGGATACAGTGGATGCCGACATTGGAGAACTGACTCAACATCTTGGACGTGGACTGTGATCTTTATTAGGTTTAGGGTTTAGGTTTCTTGAGCCAATGATTGGCTGTATTTATGTATCGTCAACTGCGCACCACCTAGGGTTTATAAATGTTCTTGGGGACTCCACCGAATTATTGCGGGGATATTGTTTACATTGGCCTTTAACCTTTTCTAAATTTTGGTGTTTTTTTTTTCACCTTTATTTACATTTATGTTGTTTTTAATTTTTGACTTTGCAAAGAGATAAAGAGGAGATGAAAAAGTAGTTTTAAGTGTTTTAAATTAAATAACTGATTTGTAAGATAACTATATAAGATATGTGATATAACGTTTTCTTGGATACTTTAATGGGCGGTTTGAGTTATATCTATATTAGGGTTTCAACCAGACGCTTGATCTTCTAACTAAAATAGCATGCCTCCATTTTAGCCCTAATTAATTTTGTAAAGTCAGAGCTTTCTTTACCTTATGACTTGTGTCTTGCCACTACACTAGGGTTGTGACTCAGGCTTGGTTTGATAAATGGTTGGTGCGTCTAGCTTGATGAGCTACCGAGTTAAATTTGAGCTAGTCCTGACTTGACTCTTAAGCTCATGAGCTGGCTCGTTTAAAAAAATATTAATATAAAATATACTTCAAATATATTAGAATTTATGATTTAAAATACAAAGTTCTTTAAAATATTTAAAAATGATATCATAATTTTTTTACGTTAAGTCATTCTTTATTTTATTATTTTTCTTATAGTTTATGATCATTTTTTATCATATTTTTAATTGTCAAACTTCTAGAATAAAGCTCGAGTTCGTGCGTAAATTTGATTAATTAAGCAAGCTAAAGTTAGAGGGACTTGAGCTCTACTCGATTAATTAATCAAAACTCAATAAAATGTCGCTACGTGGCAGCCAGATGACTCGCACTCAATGAAATTTTAATATTTGTTTTGCCTTTTCCAACTTACCATGCGGCCCGAGGACCTGACCCGGACCTGACACGAAAATTAAAAAAAAAACTCGAGTAAGCGCCAACATTTAATGTTTAGGACATTGGCAGACTATTTTTGCCACCATAAACGGGATTTCTCCTCATAATAAAGTCAAGAAAGAAAATAGAGACGGGATTTCTCCTCATAATAAAGTCAAGAAAGAAAAGAGAGACGTAGGCTATGAAGATGAAAACCGATTTGGAGGAAGTCAATTTCTATTAGGAGATGGAAGGTGTTGCACAAAATGTCAAGGAAGATTTAGTGCAGTGAACTACGAGAGATAAGGCTGGGATATTATCAGTAAATTTTAAACTCCGAAGAGGTTTTGCTATTTTTTCATTTGAAAATGTAGAGTTTTTAATGATTAAGGTGCATCGTTCAAGTCTTTTTTGCTCCGAATTTATATTGTTGTGCACATGCACAGATTTAAGTTTGGATTATGTGTGCACGTACAGATAAAAATATAATTTGATATGTATTATTGTTGTGTATTATCATTTCTATGTACCACTGTTGTGTACTATTGTGCTTCTGTTTACCACTATTGTGTATCGTTGTTGTGTACCGATGTATACCGATGTTGCATACAATTGTGTACCGTTGTGATTTTTGTGTATTTTCATGTTTATATCAGAATGTTAAATAAGTTTCTCTTATGCACATGGTGTTTATAACTATGAGAAGGAAGCATATAATATGTATTTTCATTATGCTCATAATATTGGTTTTAGTATTTGCAAAGCATATCACATTTATTGCCTAATTTGAGAAAAATAAGATTCAATGATTTTTTTTGTTCGAAAGTTGGATTTAAGAAATGAATTGACTTAAATTCCCAATCAAAATATCAAAAATCAAATACAAAAACATGGTGTCCTGTTATGATTAGATTTTCAGTGGATGAAAATTAAGTTTGAATGGTGCAAATATGCATAGAGAGCCATAATTATGAATTAGCTAGGTTGGAAGATCAACATCAGCTTAGATCATATAAGAATATTAGTGATGAGAAAGCATCAGTTTTTAAAGCAATGAAAGAAGTCAGGAATAAAATCATTGATTTATTTACCTACCTAGTCGATGGAGTTGGAGGTTTATAAAATGTTGGATTCTATAAGAGGGATGCATATAACTACATTCAGAAAGAGAAAAGAGCGAAGATCAATATTTAAAAATTGATAATAGATAACAATATATATATATATATATATATATATATA